TGCAGCAGAGGTGGGTTTTATATTAGTGGTACATGGAAGGCATTAGAAATGATGATCAAATGCTACATGTTGCGCTATAATTTCTCAAATTTATTTTTCCCTTGGTCAGGGACATCATGATAACGTATTTTGAACCTTCCATCTCATTCGAGGGACTGTGCAATGAAGTTCGAGACATGTGCTCCTTTGACAACGAACAGCTTTTCACCATGAAATGGATTGACGAAGAAGGTAAATCAATGCTTGGTTCTTGGTCCTACAACAAGTATTTAATCAATATGTTCCTCAGCTGGCTAGCTCTCCTTTCCCTTTCCTCTTTTCCTTTCCCTCTGCCTTCGTAAGATAAGCTTATAAAACACACTTCATAAGTACGTTTTTAGAAATAGTAAATCTGACTCTTAAAATAAAGGTTATCCAGTGCCTTTGTAAGTATATCTTAATGTAAAGGTGGTTGTTTCAAACAGCTTAGTGTGGAGAGTGCTTTTTTTACCAAATAAATAAGTTAAAACTTAGTGATTATCAAAATATGAATTCAGTGTTAGCATTTATTAGGAAGGGAAAGGAAAACATTCCCTTATACCGCTGAAGAAGCACATGGTTCCCCTTAAGTCCTAAATCTTTGAGGTTTAAGTGACCTTAAATCATAGAATTACAGAATTTTTTAGGTTGGAAAAGACCTTTAAGATCATCAAGTCCAACCGCGAACCCTAACACTGCCAAGAAATGATACGAATTACAGTATTTATCTACCATATCGATACAGTTTTGTAGTTGAGGTGTATGTGTCACCAAAGCCGTTATATTTTGAGTGTCTGTATCGGCTGCTATTAGCAACATAGAGTTGACTAACATAACTATTAGTAAAACTTTTCCTGACTATTGAAAGAGAAGTTACTTGTCCAAGTAGCTTTTCATCAAAGTGTAGTAGTAACAACCCTGGCTGAGAACTCTTGTCATCTCTAGGGCTTATGCTATCTAGGGTAAAGTTTACCTTGGATGAAAAAAAGTTCAGAGTCTGTTCTTTTTCCTTAACAGATGTGGTCCAGTTCTCAGCTGTATGTATAGATCAGTAATTTTTTGAAAGGGTTATTTGTAGTTCCTGTTTTCTTTGAGGAATTTGGTGTATTCTGCGCGTAGGTTTTGAGCTGCACCAAAGAGATGTCTGAATTATGAAATAGCTGCTGAGTTATTTTAGCATGCAAAGTGCTTGATGCAGTACATAAAAGGCCATAATGTGCAGCGATTTGTCGGCAGTGATTAGTATTTGTATGCAGTGATTAGCATAAATGGTGCTTCTAGAACTCTTTCCTCCCCTTCTCACAGCTTTCCCATTCAAAATTGGGTGAGTGCCAGTTTATTCGCAGCTTAAAGCTAGACATGGACCAAAGGGGATTTTTGGAAGCATGTGCTGCAGGTGTGTTGAAGGTTATGTGGTCATGGGAATCTGAGCAGGTTTTCTTTCTTTTTTTTTTTTTTAATTTTTTTCCTTTCCTTCCTCTCCTCATTCCCAAGTTATTTACACCAGGCAGATGCAGTAAAGTGAAATGAACAGTGTTTATGACCAGGCTTCTGTGCAGACTTGAACGTTTGCTTCATAGGTAAGCTTGCTGTTTTATTTTGAAGAGGATAAGAGACTTTTCGCTGAAGAGGGAGAGTCAGTCATAGTAAGAATATATAAATATATTAAAAACATACCTTTTTAATGAACCATTTGTGGAAAGTGTTGTGCAGGTTTTATGGTTTACTTGAAGGAACAGTTCTGTCTCAATTTCTGCTCTTCAGAGACAAGTTTTTGTTTTTTTTTTTAAAAAAAGGAATACTGCAGTTTGACTGCATTTTTTTTATATATTCGCATAGGATTCAATTTTCCCAAGCAATCTGTGTTTGCTTTAGTCATTGACCTCCAGTTTCATGTCAGTAGAGAAAAAGTTAATCCGGTGATGAGGAGTGTGTGTTAAAAAATCCCAGTGTCTTTGTTATGAGTAATTCTTGCATCTACAATGTGTGGCTTCTTGCCAAGACCCCTGCCTCCTCTCTTCCTCTCCACCAGTCTTCGGTGTTTTCAGTTGGTGTTCTTCCTAGACACTCATAATTTGCATTCTTGGAAAATTCCTGTATCACATCCTCTTCACTAAAACTGAAGTTCACGCTTTAATAGTAGCATGAGTAAATGTGTGTGCTGTGGACTGGTACTTGTTATACTACTGCTGTGCTGCTTGTAGTGCAAGACGAGATGTGGCGTCTAGGTCATCTCGTCACTGCTTCCTGACTAAACTGCTTGATCAGTGGCGTGACTAAACTGAATTGACCCCGTCACCAAGGGGTTTATTTGTCATATACTAAATGTCTTGGTGAGATGCAGAGTATCACGTATAGCTGCTTCTGTTTCATAGAGGTGGTGGCACACATAGGCAGACCTAATTTAGTGGCATGAAATCACTTCAAAAAAACGCTCAGATGCAACTGGAAAACAGAATGAACTTGATTGGATTTTAAACAAAATGCTATTTGTGTCTATTTTATGCAGTCAGTTCATCTTACTGCTGTCTTCTGAAGCGTCCTGTAGGATGGACACTAGACTTACGTTTGTATTCAGTCTATTGTTTCTTGCTGTGTAACTCAAAAGTAAATATTTTCCTATGACACTTATCCCACCTGTCTTTGGCTGCGAAATTCATACTACTACAAACTTGTTGAAAGAATATGCCTGTAAACCTTCTGTTCCTAGTTTGAAGCACGGTGTAAGTTCTTGAGAGCCTTGTTTTCTTCTGCCAAAAGGAAACACAAAACTGTTTGCACAGGTGTCAAACAAATGAAGAAAAACTGGTTTGCTGATTCTCATAGTGAGTCTGAATAAATGTAGTTGTTCCTTCTCCTCCCGCCGTGCTCTGCACTGGGTGAGTTTGGGCGGTGGGTTGGCAGTTGATGCCCAGATAGGCTGACAGGAGGGGGGAGGCACTGTGGTGAAAAATGACTACGACTGGCTTCAGAGTCTTGCTTTGAGGATTGTGACGTGCAGAAAAGGTTGAAGACAGAATGCTGCAAATGGACAGTTTACATTTATTGCTAAAGTTTCGGAAATAGAAAAGAATGGATTCATTAGAAACCAAACAAATTAACTGGAAAAACTTTTGTAGGGAGAGTTTGAAATATCCCCCTGTTGTCTAGGTGCGTGGTTCTACTGTAAAGCCGTAACAACACCTGTATTAATTTTGATATCTTGCAGTACAAAATGAGAATAGTTAATGAGCTCTTGCTAGTTATCTTTCAAACAATGATATTGATGGAAGACTCAAAGCAGTAAAACTTTCAGACTGGATCCCGTTCAGCTGAGATGGAAATTGTTCTGCCTTCCTGCAACTCAGTTACCCACAACCAGTTTACCACTTAAGGGTGTGGAAAGTAGTATTTTGGTTAAAAGTTGGAAATGTTGTATGACAGTAGACTTGGAGTATGGGATTTTGGCTAGAAAGAAGCTTGTTCTGCTCACATGCTGGAGAACAAGCGAGCAGAGATAAATCCCATATTCTTGCACAGACCATCTTGTGTTGGTAGAGGGGGAGGGGAAAAAAGCTGAACTAATAACCAGACGTATTTTATTGCTTTGGAGCAGTGAGATTTGAATTCAACTTGCTTTAAAATTCCTTCAGTTTTAGTAGTATTTTGAACAAGGTTTCTTTTAGGGGAATGGTTGTTTTTTTTAATGTTACTAATCTGCATCAGACCCCAAAGAAAACGTTGTGTTGCATGACCATTCTTTTCAGTCTTTACATCAGTTTTTTTTAATGTTACTAATCTGCATCAGACCCCAATGAAAACATGTTGCATGACCATTCTTTTCAGTCTTTACAGCAGTTTCCAAACAGCCACAGATGATCAGTTAAAATATCAGATGAAGTCTTTAGATTGATGTTGAGAAACAGGTGAAGTACAGGCTGTGTGTCTGAAGGAGTATGAATCAAGGCTGGAATTTAAGGTCCTTCTTGCTCCTGATCCTGAATACAGCAGATCTTTATCTTGGTCTCCTTTGTTCCTCCCCGCCTGTTTAAACCTACCTATGTGCCAATTTGCCCTGATGTAATTAAGTGTTGTTTAATGATTCTGAAACACCTTTGTGGATACATGCTGTTTTTTCAGAAACATAAAGCAGATAGCTACAAAGAGCCCTTCGTCAGTCCTCAACTGTTACTTCTGAAACACAGAATCCTTAAAGCAATCTAACGCAGTCCTGTTGGAGAAACTTTAAAACACATGCCAAGTGCTTGTATGATAATCTGTTCCGCCTCAAATGGTCAACAAAAGCTGCAGTTGTTTTATGGAAAAGAAAAAAAAAAACCCAAACAGACAATGCACACTTTTTTCCTGCTGTGATGCCCTTTCTTTAAGGGATTTTACTTCAAATAGTCCTGTCAGTGTGAAAGTAGTAGTTAAAAATCAGAGAAATGGGGTGTTGTTTTCATTTAGGTTACATGATTTGCCCAGTGTCTTGATTGAGGTTTGAGGAAAGACTAGAGGTCTAACTGCTTTTGCACCTCTTGGTTAAAGTCTTTGCAATGTTGAAGCAGCTGTGAATATAGAATGACTCAGTTGTAATTAAAAATCCATGAAATAAAATGGAATCTTAGAAGGATTTTAGGTTCGGGAAGATAACCTGCACCTCCTGTACTGAAGTGATGTGTAACCATGCTTGTAGCAGACCAAACCAATGGTGGTTTGTGATTGTGGTCTGCTTGCCTCTTGGGAATATCTCGTACTTTTGTTTTCCCTCGGGAGCGTTCAATATGACTGTATTTTCAGATGTACTCTCTGAACAACGTTAAAAATAAATACTACTGTACTTGAGAGTATCGTTCTGTTTTGCTGCAATAATTGTCTTGGAACTGACTGCGAGGGAACTGTTGAATGGTACAGAACTAATTGGCTTGAGTTTTTTGGTGTTCTCTTTTCCTTCCACAGGAGATCCATGTACAGTTTCTTCTCAGCTGGAGTTAGAAGAGGCCTTTCGGTTGTACGAACTAAACAAGGACTCAGAGCTTCTAATTCATGGTACGGTGAAATTCACTGCGTTATTACTCATGTTTGTACCTGTGAGTAAGTGGAATTTTTACCTCACACTATCCGTGTCTTTTGCACAGCCTTCTCAGTTAAAGCCTGTTGTGGCATTCTGTCAAGAGGATGCTGAAGACCACGCACCGCGCTTTTTAGCTGCCAGCACTTTGTCAGTGTTCTTTGTTAAATTAAGGGAGGAAAAAACACTTTGCTGTTAGTTTTTTAATGAGAGTCAGCCCCTGCCTCATTCATTCGTTCATCCCAAGTGCCTGTATGCTTGCTGACAACGAGTGGCAGAACATACATGGTACAGTGTGCTATACTTTGTTATTAGTAAGTGCTTTAGAGCAACATCTATGTGAGGGGGAAAAAAAAGTTGACGAGCTGCATTTGGGATACTGCATTAGTCCAAAGTTTGACTTCTGGAAAATTAAGTACTTTAGACCAGTTTTGAACCCAGCGTCATGCCCCTGTTTGATGTGTAATTTTTATTTTTCAGAGTTATATGCCTATTTTGGTAGGTTCTGCAGTATATTTTTCGTAGTGTTGGTAACTTTTTACAAGCAGAAGATAGATTTCAGTTTAACAGAGATTGTAGCAGAAAAGCAGGGGATCATTGTAAAGAGCGTTAGTGGGTGTGTTACACTGCAGTGGGTGTGTTACACTGCAGTGTCTTGACATGGCCCTTCTCTAAAAGGGTGCAAAAGAATCTCGTTCACCATCAGCTCATTTCGAAGGAAGAGACAACTTTTCAGCTTCCCACAAAGACTTTTAAGAAGTGGGAGAAGAATGAAATCTGTTTCTACATAATTTCACTGTTTCTGTATATATTACTTCAGCATGCTTTCTGATCTGCACTGTCTCCATTTGGTTTTGGGTTTGATAAGCTTCTGACTAAACCAGCACCAGGGCGCTCTCTCCCCAGTTATACTTCTCTGACTGTTAATGAAGCTGAATAAACTGGAAAAAAAAAGGCTACTGTAGATGAGATCATATGTAGCTGTTAGGTCACTGTAATGTAATACATTTATAGTCCAGACTTCTAAATACTGACTGTGATGATTGGTCACATGAGAAACCACAATCCTTACTCTTTTCTAGTTACTTTCTTTAGGAAATAGCTTGTTTTATTCTGGTTTTAGCTCGTATTTGTCATGTATATCACTGTTATGTCCAGCAGAAGGGGTTTGTGGCAGCTTTTCAGCTTGCCTGCTCTTGCACAAGGTTTTGTTAAAATGCAGTCTGTGCTGTCATCCAAAGTGGTTGAGTGCCTTTCAGAAATGTTGTATTCGTGTCATAGAAAGATTTATTTTCTGTCTGAAATAATAATTAATCAGAAGTTAATGTCTTTCTTGCAGTATTTCCTTGTGTACCAGAACGGCCTGGCATGCCTTGCCCAGGAGAAGACAGTAAGTAGGCCTTTTAGTTAAGAAGTACAGAAAATGAGGAATTCAGATTTTTCTGTTTTAGAAGATTTTGATATTCTATGGTTTGGCATCCTACACTTACGAATATTAATAATGCAAATCTCTGCAAATTAAATATTTAAAAGGAATAGAAAGTCGTGCTAAACTTAAATGTTGTTTGTCACTTCTGAATCATTGTTAATAAGCATTTCACATTCCTGTTAACTATCCGTGTCACTCTGCTTTCCTTGCTTTTGCCTCTTCTATTGTGACAGGTTTTTATCCTGTTTCTCCTTTTTTGGTAGTTGCCAGATTGCTGACTAATGTGAATAAAGGCTTGTAACCAGTAGTAACCAGTGGTAATGACTTGTCATATCACCATTTAGAGATCTGTGGTTAATTAATTTTAAACTGATGTTTAGGTACTATCAGGAGTATTCTCTGAAAACCTCTAAGTTATGTTAGCTAATCTACCAAACATTAAGGATGTAATTTTCCCTCTGTCTTAAAGTTTTGTAGAAGAGCGTGTGCACATCTGTCAGCTTGATATCCCGGTCTGACAAATGTGAATGTGCGTGCTTAAAAGTTATCTTTGGCAGCGTGGTTAACGATGCTTTTCTGAACAAATGAGGTTGCGGATTGAATCGGAAATAGATTTGCAACTCAGTGTAGTTTTGCATATTCTAGTTTTCAGTTTTGGTTCCTGACATGCCTCTAGCAATAAAAAATAAACATTAAAAAAGCCTGAACAGTGGCAGCTGTGGATGTAGAACAGTGGAGGATTTGTGCAAGCAATCTTAAAAATCAGGGCATGCTCCTGAAATTCACCTGCTTCCCTCCTTCCCTTTCCCCACAGCCCTTCCCCAAGTTTAGGTAAGGCAGGTGCGTACTTTGCACACGACTGTTTGTATTGTTCAGGCAGTTTTCCTTCTCTTGACTCACTGTTCTTTATATCTTTGGAAAAGCAGAACTAACTTTGAGTTGATTGGGATATTCTGCTTCAAATTTTCTCCAAAACTTAAAAAATGAAAAAGATACTTGGAACATGACTCTGTGTTTCTGTAACGTGCAGGAGTGAAACTTTACTCTGGAAATCACTCTACACAGAAACGTCCGTGAGAAGGTGTTGTAGTTCTGTGTTTATATTTTTTATGGATATAATCGTATGTTTTTCCTCTTAGAATCCATTTATCGCCGAGGCGCCCGCCGGTGGCGAAAGCTCTATTGTGCAAATGGTCACACTTTCCAAGCCAAACGATTTAACAGGGTGAGACTCTTGTTGGGTGCTTAAAACCATGGTACAGGGATGTCTTACTTTTGTACTTACAATGTCACTGCCTTGAAAAATTACAAGGTAGTTTTATTCTCATTTTTGTTGTTTGTCGTATGCAGACTTTTGGTAACCCTCAGGAACTTAAAATAGAAAAAAAATTAAATTGGTTGCAATTCACTTTACATATTCTCTGAAACCACGATACCAATTATATAAATGCTCCCGTGTTCCCTTAAAATCTTCCCAGAGGGCAGACTTGAACACTGGCATTGGATGACTGTGAGCTGGAAGAACATTTTCAGTTCTTTTAAGTTCTGGGAATAAAAAAGGTCTGAACTTGCTTATGATGCACAGACCTTTCTTACATGACTTTTAAACAAAAACCCGAGATGTGTCTCCAGACAGCCTCCTTATGATGACATGTAAGCAACTGAAAATAACAAACCACTTGTAATATTTTCAAGAAGCAATGGCCAAATATAATTAGCTAAGGACCAAGAAGGCTGTCTGCTGCAAAAAACGAACCCAAAATATTTGAATAAGCCAGGTTCCTTGACAGCTTCAATAATCTTTCCTTCTTTTCTAAGCTTAGTGTATTGTGTGCCTAATGCTTGAGAATGTCTCCACAAAACTTCATCTTGAGCATCCTTCATATCTAACTTCTGCTTCCCCCCTGCCCAACCCCCCCTTTTTTTTTTAACCTCTTCCTGGTTAAGGCTGTCAAGGCACCATAGTTTAGTCACTTCCCACTCTTGCTTTCATAGGCACCCTGTTTTCGTGGATCTTTTGAGTTTTGTGAATGTCCTTCAGTGAGTGGGGATCTTCCCACTCCCTGTTATCTGGTGGTTTAACGGGTTGAAGCTTTTGCTCTCCTGCCTTCCTCTGTCCAAACGTAAGGACTCACCTACACAGAGAGGTGATGAGATACCTCGCAAATTAGCTTGGTCACAGCAGCCTGCTGATTCAGCTGCCACGCTTGTGACCTGGAGGAGTTGGCTCGTGCCTCTCTGGGGCTGTGTGCAGCAGGGGAGGCTGGCTGTGCCTGCCCCTTTTCTGTGGAGGTGCGCACTTGCTGTGTGGCAGCGGCTGCATATCGTTCACTTGTCACTTTTGAGCTCGTCTGTGTTGTACCTGCCTGTTCATTCTTAAAGTTTTCGGATAGAGACCCTTGGTATAGGGGCAACTTCGGTAGGGATCGATCTCTCTGATCTCCTGACCTGTGGTTTTTGTTACTGACAATGTGGCTGAATAGTTTTTATTGTTTAGTTTTGCTTTTTAATTGGTTTTGTTGGTTTGTCATTCTAGAGAGCTCATTGTGCCATCTGCACTGACCGAATATGGGGCCTGGGTCGCCAGGGATATAAATGCATCAATTGCAAACTCCTTGTTCACAAGAAGTGTCACAAACTTGTCGCTATTGAATGTGGCCGTCATACACTACAGCCAGTAAGTAAAACATACCTGAAAATTGTCTTGAAATAACAACCAATGAAACAAAAACCCCAATTTTAGCTGGATGGCTTTCAAACTGCAGTCTGCAGCGATCACAGGAAGTGAAACATCGTTCTTTATGGTTACTGTGACACTTTGCAAGAAAGTTTGGGGTTCACTTTAGCATAATGGCACTCTGGTGGCAAGACGGGAGTCTAATTTTCGCATCTGCTATTTTTTCGTGTGTCAAATATTAATGTATAAGTGATATTTATCTCATCCTTCACTATCTTATGTAGCTTATATATATACACACACACACACTGTTTTACATCTTCAATGTGAAGTACAGGTAAAAAATTTTCTATCTGTTAGATTGTTAGACTATTTCCCATTTTACAGAAAGGGAAGATGAAATGCAGAAGTTCTGACTTTTCTCCTGAAAAAAAATCAATCATCTTTAGTTCTTAAGTCCCCAGAAAAATGTAGATGATTACTGCTTCTGGTTTAATATTAAAAGCAGACAGCTACAAGTCTACCTTTTGTGAATTCATTTGACTAATATATGTACTGCTGAAGTACTTAAGCTTTTCTGTCTCATTTCTTGTCTGCTGTACTTTTTTTCTGCTGTACTAAGTTGTCACTCCAACAGCTTCTGGAAACGTGTCAACTTTTGGAAAACAGGTAAAAGGAGGACTGCAGTGGTTTCTTTGGTTGTGTATGGATTGGAGCAGTAACTGCGTTGACTAATTAGGTTAAAAAGTAGCTAGATTATATTCCTCAGGGTTCATTTATTTTCATTTATTGCCTCTAAAATAATGTCTTTCACACTTGGACAGCCTGTTACAAAAATCCTTTGCATATTTACAGGAACCAATAATGCCTATGGATCCATCATCAGTGCATTCAGATAATGTAGAATCAGGTAAGATCAATAATTTTTTTCTTTCAATTACTGTAAGTTGCTGAAACATGAACTTCGGGGTTTAAAATGAAACAGAGTAACTTTAAGTAAAATTATTTTTAAACCCCTTCTTTACTCTTTTTCATAGAACAAGAAGACCGCTCCTTAATGCTAAGGGGGATATAAATATAAAAATTCCTCAGTTTTCCGTATCTTATCAGTTTAAGAAACTTGGCTAAAAAGGAAGAATTCGGGCTGTTAGTTACATTTTTGTCCATCAGTAAGCGGTGTACTTTAAATGCCCTGAACAAACAAACAAAACCCCGTAAGAGAATTAGCAAGGTTTCTACTGGATCGGCAGCCAAACAAGTTCATTTTTGTAGCAGAGCAGTTGTCCTCACGTTTGAGTTTGGATCTAGATGATGATCAGCAAAAACCAAACAGAGCACTGTCCTGCCCAAGGTTCTCTGTGTGTGGAGTCTGAAGAGATCTCCAGATGTAATTACAGTGTTTGATACTAGCCATAACTGATTATCAATGCAGTATTGTAAAAGAATTAGTCTGATGGTTTAAAAAAACCCCAAACAAACCCAAACAAAACCCAGCAGGTTTGGATACTTGCAATAGATGCATTTAAATTGTTTATCTCTCTGATTGAGCTCTTGTGTGTGGAAATTTTCAGTCAAAAGAAAATACTGTAATAATTTTTCTTGCATCTCTAGTGATTCCATACAATCCTTCAAGTCATGAGAGCTTGGACCACGTTGGTGAAGAAAAAGAGGTAAATATCTTAACCATGCTAACTGTACTCGGAGATCTTAAAGCCTGTGTCTTTCTCAATTTCGAGATTTTAGCCATTTAGTTTGTCACAAACTGAAAACTTTAGTACATGAAGCACATCTGGGTTGCTCGCTCAGGGGTGTGCATGTGTGGCTTGCAAGCTGTTTTATTTTGAACCTTGAGTTGACATGCTTTGATTTACAAGGTATTCCAAACTCCCCCCGTTTTGGTTGTTTCTTATCTGCCAAGTCTCCTCTGCCTCCTTTCTTTGCCCTCACATTCCTTTCCAGGACAGCGCAGTTTTAAGCATAACAAGTGTTAATTGAGTCAGTTGTTTATATTAATTTTACTGTTCTGTTTGAGATGCAGACTTCTGCAGTTGTTAAAATTGGCAGGCCTGCTGACTAAGTTCAAAGTATCTTTACCAATAGGCGATGAGCATTAGAGAAAGCGGCAAAGCTTCCTCCAGTCTGGGTCTTCAGGATTTTGATTTGCTCCGAGTTATAGGAAGAGGCAGTTACGCTAAAGTACTGCTTGTGCGACTGAAGAAAACGGAACGCATTTATGCCATGAAAGTGGTGAAGAAAGAACTCGTCAACGATGATGAGGTAGGGAAGCTTTTTACCCGTCGATCAGGCAACTCTTCCAAAGAGCTTCGGTATCTGCCACAAGGCGGGAGCCAGGCTCCTGGGTCTGCAACGTTAATTGAAAATTATACATGTGGTTTCTTACACATGTGGTACTGTCTTCCCTGACAGACCGGTAGCGCGCAGCCGCCCTCCTGTGCACCGGTGGCTTCTGTCACAAGCCTCGCTGCCTCCGCTGGCAGCGTCTCCTTTGGTGGTCAGTGCTGTCTGCAGCAGCGATCCTGCAGAACTCAAGCTCGTAAGCCTGGCTTGGGTCGTTATTTTGGAGCAGTATTCCGTACATCTCATATTATGTTGGCCTGCTGGGCTGAAGAAGAAAAGGGTGGAGACTGGTTTTCCTATGTTCATGTTTGATTTTTTTTTTTTGTCACTCACAATGTTATTTTAGTTGCTTTTTAAATGGGACCTTCATCTTAACAATTTGTAGCTTGAACAGTGGTTAGTGGAAACGTATCAGAAATTGTATTAAACTGCAAAACACCTCTTGTTGCTGAAGATTCCCCTTGTGTTTCTTCAGGCTATTCCGAAAAGACGTGTGACCGTGGTTTGCTATGCAGGAGCTTTTGCTTTATTTCTCGATCTACCATTGATTTCTTTTGCATTTTTTGGTGCTACTTTACATTTGTCTGCACCAGTTCATCTTTTATAGATGAGTGTTTTTGCATTCCCAAGTGTAGTTATACAGTGAGGCTAAAAGTACGGGATGCTCAAGACAGGGGAATAAAAAAAGTGTGCTAAATTGTCTTACATCACATTGGAGAACTAAATATTTCATTTCCTGCAAGTAAAATGAGGATGGCAAAACACTTGAATATCTTTCTGCTAATTGTCATTAATACTTGACCTAAGAAGCGCAACAATCCTTTTCTGAATGTCACTTTTCTTGAATAGGATATTGATTGGGTTCAGACAGAGAAACACGTCTTTGAACAGGCTTCAAATCATCCCTTTCTTGTCGGACTGCACTCTTGCTTCCAGACAGAAAGCAGGTAAAGGTCATAAGAAGATGATATTCCAAAAAGATTTCGTACTGTTGGGCACCTCAAAGGCCTATTTAAAGCATCAAGTGTTAGGTAGGTAGCAGAAGTCAACGTACTGTAAGTCGTTGGAGCGTTTTATGAGGAAAAGGCCATGTTCATCATCTGAGCTTTGCAGATTGGGAAGATGCAAAAGAATGTCAAGTACTAGTAGGTATGATGGGAAGGATTCTGGACAGGAAGAGAGGTGCAGCTAGTGGGGGAAAAAAAGGCTTAAGAATATGAGGTAGAAGACAGAACCTAGGATGAGGAGAGAAAAGGTTTAGGGAGAGAGAAATCAGAAGTACAAAAAAAAAATAAGGAAACTTACCTTAAGCTTGCATGGACTCTGAAGTCAAGTCTCTGAGCAAGGCTTGGAAAATAGTACCTGGATTTTGAAAAGGAAAACAGGGTAATAGAGATGAAAATTATTATTTTCCTGTGTGTTTATGTATAGGAGAAGAGATTGCAGTAGACGGATGAATTACTGTTCTATACAGTAGTAACTTTCAGTGTATATAAACCACAGTTATTGTATACTTCACATCCTTGCCGTTTGAAAAGGGGATAAGCCAGTGGAGGGAAGTGAGAAGAAAGGATATTTGTAGTATGCCAATAGTATCAACTACAAAGGAGGTTAAAGGGATCAGGAAAGAAGATGAGAACTTTATTTTTTGGGGGGGTTTATGCATAGAAACTGATGTAAATCTACATAGTGACATATGTAATAATGACAAGCAGTAGCCGTGATGGATTAGGAATGTGGGAAGGATTACTTACTTTCCTTTAGCAGTAAAGGAATTATCTAGAGAAACTTCTATACTTGATTTTTAACTTTGGGAATTTATTCAAAGAGAGGGAAAATGGTGAGACCAGCCATATGTTGCCAGAGAGATGGGAGGAGTTAAGTTGACATTGTTCAATAACTGACCCGTAGTATCTCGAGCCTCTTTCAGCCTTGTATGCAATTGTTTGTAACAAATTCCTGTGTGTTTCAGGTTATTCTTTGTTATAGAGTATGTAAATGGAGGAGATCTAATGTTTCACATGCAGAGACAGAGAAAGCTGCCGGAGGAGCATGCCAGGTATGTCTAATTCCAGATTTCTTGCATCAAAACAGTTGGTTTTCTGACACAGTGCAGTAGTGCAGAGATTATGATGATGAGCTAGCAAATCCTTTCCAGAGGTTAAGGATTTAAGGATGTGAAACTGCATCCTCATTTTAATGCTGCAAGATGCCGTATTTCTGTCTCAAGGAGGAACTGTAATAGGAAGCACTTAAGTATTGTTTGTATCGGCAGTACCCTAGATGACTTTGGTCTGATTTCTGAATTTTGTCTAGAAAAACACTTTCGTGGTGTTTTTTTAACTGTCTAATGATATCAATGTGTTTCTCTTGCAACAACCACTGCCAGCTGTCCAGGCAATTGCTGAGTTCATGGTGCATGTGCTTCATCTCAGATGGTGAGATGAAAGGGATGATTTCAGTAGACATTAATGTTAATTAAAAATCATTTTTGAAGTGACTATGAGTACAAATGTTTGCATGATTAAAAGCAACCTATCCACTTCTCTGATGAAAAATAATGGAATACAGGGGATCATATTTAGAAAAGTATCCTACTACCCAGACTATGTTATAGAATCATAGAAGAGTTTTGGGCAGAAGAGACCTTTAGGATCATGTAGTCCAACCTTTGTCCTAGCTCTATGAACACCACTAAACCGTGTCCCTAAGTACAACATCTACCTGTCTCTTAAACGCCTCCAGGGTATTCTGGTTTAGGTTTTGATTACTCAAGTAATCAATATTTTTTTCTACACTAGGTTTTATTCTGCTGAAATCAGTCTAGCATTGAACTATTTACATGAACGAGGAATAATCTACAGAGATTTAAAACTGGATAATGTGCTACTGGATTCTGAAGGGCATATTAAACTCACAGATTATGGCATGTGCAAGGTAAGCTCTAGTTGCTTGCTAACCAGTAAAATCAGCAATTAAGAAATTGTCATAAATTAAGATGCAGAGGCTTAAAAACGTGACGTTTCGGGGTATTCATTTACACACAGTGCAGACAGGCTGTATATTCATTTCACTTCTACAGATGGAGAAAAGAAAAAGAAATGCCAAAGAGCACAGACTACCTATGTATTAAATTTGGTTTTGTAAAGCTGCTGTCTCAACTTGACAGGGAGGGGTGGGCTGAAATAGTCACGGTAGCTTGATTTCGAAAAGAGCGAGAGGTTGAAGTGTGTCAGTCACACTTTGCTCCCGCTTGGATTCTGTGATGCTTCCCGTTTTCTCTAGAAGCACTTTGTCACTACAGAGACACTGGAGCACAGGTTTGACTTTGCCGTGCCATTGCCATTATGCTGATCTATTAGAACTACTTTAAATGCTATAATTTTGGCTAAGCAACTGCAAAGCATAAAATAACTGAGGTCAGAAAGGGCCCCAGGGGTCTAATCCACCCTCCTGCTCAAAGCAGGGTAAGCTGAGATCAGGCCACGTTACCAAGGGCTTTATTCACTTTGGTCTTGAAAACTTCCGAGGATGAAGACTGCACATCTCCTTTGGGTAACACCCCCTCCCCCCGCCCATTCTGTATCCCATCCTCTTCTCTGAAAGTCTTACCTGTCCGTTGCAACGCTCCAGTCCTGTAAGCTGGTCCACCTCACGTACTCCCGCTTGCCTGTCGTTGGAGGTAGGGTGGAGCTTACTAGCTAAAACCTTAAAAGAAGTTAAGTGCCATCCTCTTGAGGCTGTTGATGCAACCCACTTGTGTTTTTTCACAAGTAGGGTTTTGTATTCATTTCCATACAGATTTAAGCGTAGTTTTACTAAAATGAAAGCAGTTTATTCAGGACACTTAAATTAATTCAAAATTCAGTTCTTAGCAGAGCGGGGGGAGTGTGGGATCTTTGGCTGACTGTAAAGTATTTTCTTCCCATCTTGTCTTAAAGGAGGGTCTGAGGCCTGGGGACACAACCAGCACATTCTGTGGGACTCCAAACTATATTGCACCTGAAATTCTCCGGGGAGAGGATTATGGTAAATGGAACTTTTCACTGCTACCATGTAACTTTCACTTGTCTCTTTCTTCTTACTTGAGTTGTTTAGCAGTAGAAAGTACAGATCTCTAACTCGGCATCCTGCCTGAAAAAGTGAGTAACTGGCAGAAAACATCACACCAAGCAAATGAGATACCCTGCCTTCCACATTTTAAATTCTTTTTATCACTCTTGAAGAATAGTTTGAGTCTTCCAAATTTATTATCGTTTCTGACACTTTTAGATACTACTAATGATATCCTTGCAGCCTTGAATTGTGTTCGGTTTTGGAGCTTTATATTTGGCAGCAATGATAGTATGAGATATAGATGCACTGCAAAGGGCCTAGACAGTAGACATCCCTTTGACAAGTCTCGGTGTTAAAAATAAAATTGTCTAGGCAATGGCCTGTTCAGGAAGTCCACAAGATTCCTGAAGCAAGAGATGTAAGAGAGTATTAGAAGCCTTGTTGTGTGTGTTTTCTGTTACCCTTTTTTCCTGAGCTTCCAACACTGTGCCGAGCAGATCTTTGGTCTGTTTTCTTCCCTAAAGACTTTAGCAAGTTCTACAACTAGTTCCTATTTAAAAACAAAAAAAGTGTATCTATTTTTTAAATCTACCATCTTATTTCAGCTGAATGTCTCTTTCAGGCTGACTTCACATCTTGCTTCCTTATCACAAACTTTCTAGGCCATCCAGACTGTATCAGTCCTAGCCTAGCTACTAGGATTTTTTTT